GAGTGTACGGACGCTCATGTTGGCTGCTAATAATTTTTTCAAACGTGTTAGGACATTTGGACACAGTATTATCAACGATGTAAATGGGTACTGTAAAAGACGAAGCGGAATGGAATTAAAACAATTTGTGGAGGGGACAGCGGTCTGTCAGTGAAGTAGGAAGAAGAAGACAGAAGAGTGGTGAGGGTAGAGCCTTACTGGCTGTATAGGAGTTTAGTCTCCTTTTTTTTTCTTTCTAGCTTTGGGAAATTCAGAATCCAGAATTTCAAAAATGTCGTGAGAAGTGCACCAGTATTGTTAAAAAGTGGAAAATGTGTATCAATGTGTTGCTTCCAGTTGCTTTCATGTTAGTGCAACAACAAAGACTTCTAAGGTGTTGTAAAAAATACTTAGAAAAGCTGGGTTTATTCTCCTCACTGTGTCATTTTATTATGTTTTAAGGTTTTGTACCTGAGTTCAGCAGGTGATGGAACTGGAGAGTCCTAAATTTGAATCAGTTGAAAATGAAAACTTGGAGAACTGGCAGTTCATTGGCTCCGGTGGATTTGGTCAAGTCTACAAGGCTAGACACAAGAAGTGGAGGCGTGACGTGGCCATTAAGCTACCTCGACATGCTGCTGGGTAAAATTAGAACGGAACATTTTTTTCTTTCTATACTTCCAAGTACATGAACTAGTCCTTTCCTAAAGCTTTTACATTTTCCTTCCAACGCTAGGGACATAGAACTGTGTGAGGAGGCAAATCATATGGCCAAAGTCTCCTTACACAGTTCTGTGCTGAGGCTTTATGGAAAATATTGGGGATGTCCACCAAATGGAGGGCAGAACATTCAGCTGGGAATTGTTATGGAGCTCATGGATATAGGATCTGTTCAGACCCTGCTGGAGACTTTGTCAGGTCCACCACCATGGCCTCTGGCCTTCCGCTTGGCCTACGAAATCGCTCAAGGAATGAACTTCCTCCATGAGAAGAACATTTTGCACCATGACCTAAAGCCAAGCAATGTACTGCTGGATGGTGACCTTCATGCCAAGGTAAAGTGCTATTCAAACGAAAATTAAACAGAACAAAGCTTTTGCAGACCGGGATTGTCTGGCACATGACAGCACTGTGGGATTCTGTTAACAGCTCACCATTTACCTGGCAAGCTTCCCATTTTGCAATGGTCAGTTTGTGGAAAACACACAAGCCTTTAAATAGAGGAAGTATTTAGTAGGTTTTGTGAGTCAGAGTAAATTTTCATGTTGGTGGAGGTGGGGTGTTTTTGTATTGAAAGCTCACACAATGTTAGTGAGTTAAATAAATAGATGCTTATTAAAAACTGAAGGTAATATAAATGTGTTTGCTTGTTGCAAAATGATTTGTTTCGACATACACCAATAGCTGACTCAAAGACGTATGGCTTCTATGTGTTGTCTGTCAAAAGTGTTCTCACAAAGATTGTACCTCTGGCAATCCCGGCTACACATTTGTCATGACTGAGTTGTGTGATTCTGAGTGAGGCACAGGGTTGCTAGATCTTAAAATGAAAAATTTCCTTACCTGGATGATCGAGCATGCATCAAGACCTTTAAAAAATAGAGGCAACTTCTGGCCTTTTGTAATAATATTAATTATGCATCAGTTCAAAGTACAGGTCAGAAAGTGTGGAATCTATTGTTTTTGTGGATTTAATGAAAGCTACATTCTTAAAACACAGTAAATTTCTTAATTTCACTGCTCATACATACAATGATTCACAGTAATTATCACTGGTGAAATACACTTGGCATTGTGTCGTGTTCATTTCTAAACTTACTGATGTCTCTACCTAAAAAGAATTATAAATATTATAAATTTAGAAATTATACATTTTTTTTAAAATCGTTTTTCTTTTATTTAACACTATGATCCATGCAACTGGTTTTAAACATTTCATTGATTTATCCACGGCCAATTTATTCCAGTGTGAGTCAGAAATGTTCATGTAGTTGATGTAAAGACTCCTTCATGCTTGAGCTGCACCCTCACACACTCCTGTGATGGGTATTGTCAATACTCCCCTGGCGGATGGCTTGGTGACCCAAGTTTTCTGAATGCAATAACTCAAAAATGAGGTGGCATAATATTTTGAAATTCAAACTATAGTTGCAGCTACTAAAAATCTTGGAAGAGTTCTAATTTCAGTGACCAAGGTCAGAGGTCAAGTTTTCTCATTCATACTATAATTTCACCAACCAAAAGTTCAAATCTAAGTAACTTTGAATGTGATGTCAAGGTCAGACGTCAAATTTTCCAAAATCTTGTGAATCAGACCTGGAACATGTACATCTACTAGGAGGTTGATGGGTAGCACGAGTTTATTATCATTAACAGAGAGACAGATGATCATTTAAAGTAAAATCAGCAGAACATCTGTGTATAGAGTACAAAATAAGCAATTCCACTGAGTAGGCAAATACATATCAATTTTAGTTTTTATGTCTAAACATGTTGATAAAATACAGGTCCTTGTAAGGTTTAACAGTAAAATATTAAAAAGCCCAATTAAAATGTTTTTTTTAATGCAGACTATTAACATCCAACACAATCCTTTGAAAGCACAAAGAACTAGTGCTTGCAAAGCACAATAGGACAATGATCTGTGTCACGCATTAAGCAAACCCCTTTCTTTAAGTAAACTGAGGAGTATTCACTCATATCCCATGATGGCTTGCTGTTTCAGCTGGTGTTAATAGGTGTGGTGTGTTCTTGCTTGCTGGATTTTTATTTGTCTCTCACATCCCTCTTTCTTTTAGAGTGAAGATTCTTAGTAACAGGACAACGAAGAGAGTCTGTCTAGGAAACCGGTGTCATTCACTTTGTATACAAATCTGTACAAAGGATCCTGATAAGGCTGTCCAACTCATCCCTAATAAATGGGATGATTATAGGAATGACACCATTGTCTCTTCTTTTTCTTCCTTTTTTCCTCTTTCTCTTCCTTTGAACTAGCCACCTACAGAAAATAAAGGAGAAACTATTAACTTGTTATACATGTTAAACCATATTTGACCTTTTTAATAAGAGCAAATCATACCAAGCCTCTCCACTAGTTTTGGATGATGTTTTTTAAGGGCATTAAAGAAGGCTGCTTTGACCCTCCACCCTCCTGAACGCAGTGTTCTTTCAAAGAGCTCCCTCATTTTATCTTGACTTGTCGGTGTAGCTCGAATCTTTGAATAGGCTTCAGGATGGACCAGGTCTCCAAGCTCTTCTGCTATCGCCAGCACTTCAGAAACTTCTTGGATTAACTGTGCCCTGTTTCTATCAACAAAGTCTGCTGCTTGTAAATGAAGAAAAATAAAGCGTGTATTTAAATATCATTATAAAATTGTGAATTTGACTGTGAAATAATATATAATACACACCTTTTTCATTTTCAGTCAGATTTCTAGCAGAACTGCTCACATTATTCTGCTGCCAAAAGAAAAGAAAATTTATGTAGTCTCTTTTTTTTAACCATATCAGCACACAAACATCTGATTTGACTGTGAATCCTTTTGATTGTTTAGGATGATTTTTTTATGTTTTATCTTTTTAATTTGACACAGCTTTTGGTTTGCCTACTTTGTTTCTGAGGGAGGTAAAAATTGGAAACATCCATCCTCTTTAGCACAAAATTTATTACATGTATTTATACATAACAATATTTACGTACAAATGTTTAAGTTGGTTTTGTTGTTCTCAAGTATCTTCTGATCAAAATGAGACTTGATTAAATGAAGTCACCCTGAGAACTGAGAGGCAAAGGACAAAGTCCAAATAAAAAATACCTGCAATGGGATGTCCACAGTATCATTTGATGCTGGCGGTCCTGAAAAAGGAAAATATATATGTCTGATGTTTCTTGTTAATAAGAAAGAAATGTGTATGAGAATAAACTAGGGCTGTCAGCGTTAACGCGTTAAAAAGGGATTTATCCGCATTAACGCATTAACCCTAACCCTAATCTGCGTTAAACCCTAGAATAAACATAAGTGACAAACCTGGCATCTCAGCAGTGAAACCAGATGGACGTGACATGTTGGAATCTTGATGACCAAGTTGCATATTCTAGACCAGAGAGATAAACAGAACGCAGAGAAGTCTGATAAAAGTCTTCACCATTAATTGCTATTATCAAGTTTTACTCTTGAACTAAAGCTTTACACTAATATCTATTTTTACAGTACATTGTGATTGTGAATCCTTCCTACTTGTGTCCAAGTGACATGTGGCATAATGTGAAAATCAACTAATAAGATCATTCATTCTGTCTAATGATGCAAAGTGTAATTAAAATGATCAAGAAACACTTGAGAAAGACTTGATAACATTTCTTTTCACTTTGTGAGAGGTAGATTTGTGAGTGCATATTAAATACCTGCATTTCAGTTCTTCCATCAACTTTATCATTTGACTTTGACTGTCCTGAAAAAAAGAGAAATATCTGTACGATGTTCATTGTTAATAAGAAAGGAATAAGTCTGAGAATAAAGTGACAAACCGTACTGAAGAATCTACCTGGCATCTCATGATTAACACCGAGTGGACCACATGTGTCAGGATATTGATTACCACGTTGTGAATCCTAGGAAAGTAAACAGTACCCAAAGAAGTCTGATAAAAGTGCTCCCTCCAAAATTGAAATTGTTGACTACTTTATTAGTTCATTTCTGAAATTATAAGTTGAGTTGCACCAATTTTTCCATGACTTGTCCGACTGCCCGGTGAATCCCCGCCCTGTGCTTTGAGAACACATCCTTAGTGATTTCATCACACTCTGAAACAAAACCATGGTCCATGTTTAAAAGGCATAATGTACAAAAAGTAGAGAGTTCATTAATTGTTAGTGGTTTCGTGCACATATAAAAATGGGCTGTTTAATACAGAGTGTTTAATACAGGTAGTTAACACATACCTCCAAAGTCTGGCCTCTTGGATGGATCTCCATCCCAGCACCTCTTCATGAGGCCAACCACCTCTCTCAGCCCTTCTGCCTTTGTCTGGTCTATTTCTTTACAGGGAGGTCTGTCCCCCTTTGGGATCTTCAGTGCCAAAAGAGCTAGAGTAGCATCTGTGTGAAATACAATAAAGACTTTCATTAAAAAACATGAGCACAAACGAGAGAATGTTTTTATGGAAGTGCCTCACATTGTATTGATAATAGTTATATTAAATGTAAAACATAAAATATAAATGAAAACTTTTTTTTTTAAAGAAGGGCAAATATTTGACCAGAAAACTGGAAACTTATGAGGAAAAACAAACACACAAACATAGAGAAATTTATGGAAAATGATAAGTAACTGAAATCCATTCATTGTACCTGGAAAAGGCTTTTTCCCGCAAATAATAGACCACAGAAGAATACCATAGCTTTACAAGATAAAGAAAGAGAAGGAATTAACACAATGTGTTTAAGGTAAAATCTATAATCATACATAAATCCCCACAACTATTCTTTTAATGTTTACCTGTATATGTCAAATTTACGAACAGGCTTATATGATGGATCAAAAGACTCTGGAGGCATGTACTGATATGTGCCTCCTTTCACTGTGGACATTTCTTCAGAGCTCATCAGAACACTGGTGGAAACCCTGGACAGACCAAAATCTGCCAGCTGCAAAATAATCAAGGAAAAAAATAAAATAACACAATTACATCAGTATAAACTAATGAGTTGAGTGGA